ATTACTTAAGGTTTCCTTCACATTTACTTATTTATCAGTTTTCCTTTATATTTACTTATTTCGTGGAAATATGCGCTATATGTTTAGTCCTTGATAGTCCCTTGATCACTGATGGGTCTCATGGGACCGTCTGGTTGAAGAAGCTCATCGGAGTAGAGGCGAAGTGGGCCACTCCCTATCATCTCAGAACAATCAAGTAGTGTTGTTTACTTGTTTGTATATCCATTACCAGGCAGAATTTGCTTGCGTAAACAACAGAAATTTTTGAATGTGTTCACGGTGGTGATACGAGGTTGATGCGTGACGCTTGCTGCGGCGACCTGATTGACGTGAATCTTTTCTTAGTGTAAAAAGGCTTGGGAAAAACTCCCTCTCTCTCCTAGAGTCACTATTTCCCTTCCCTTTCCCTTTCTCTAATCAAGGGCCGAAGCACCCGAGATAGATAGAGAGTACCTTGTCGTATAGTGTACTTAAGCTAATTCAATTGATTTGTTGAAGTGTGATTAAATTGCAAGTACAATTCCTGGAGAGAAGATGAGTTCTTTGCTGGAATTTCCGGAATTCAAACGAAAAAAACTCGTCTGAAATTCTACTCTTTACTGCTTTGACGTCAATTCCTTCAACAACATACATCAATTATGCAGTTATTCAACGAATGCGAATTTATCCCAAGAATTCAATAGAATTGAAATGATTGAGCCTTACCGTAGTTTTTTTTTGGATCTTTGGTCGATGTTCGTGGCTTGTGGGTTTCCATATAATCTTCGTTCCAATCAAAATGACACCCAAATCGCCATTCCGACGACGACGGGTGGACAGGCGCATTCGTCAAAGTGATGCCTTAAGGCTGCCCGTTGATCATACATCAAGCTATATTATCTCCTCGTTTCAGACCCCCTCCCCACCCCGTTCTGAAGCCCTTAATATTCTCTCGAATGTGTCCTCATTCCAAAGTGGAGGGGGTTATCGAAAGGTCACCCATTGCGGGGATGAGCCATGCACTTGACTTTCACTATGAAGCCCTTAATATTCTCTCGAATGAGTGACCTATAAATCTTTGGTTGCCTATAGAAAAGGGCTTAGCCAGTTGTAGTTGAGTGGGTTTTTCAGTCTCTCCCCTTAATACTAAAGATTAACCTTCTGAAAATTTGCTTGATCGGTTGATTGCTGGACAATTTTGTGACACCCCCTGTGCCGGTGCGCCATGGGTTTGACTTCAACTTGGAATTACCGTGAAGCGTGTGAAGACCGAATTGCGTCCATGATGTGACTTGACCAGTCGGCAATAAGGTATCTTCCCATTGATCCCCCACTCGTGAGTATAAATTTCCCATGTATGTTTTCTGGTGAATTAGTCACAGAACAAGTGTCCGTTCTTCGATCTTCCCACATCTTTCCTCAACGGACTTGGGAAGGTGAATAAATAACATGGTGAGGTGGGAATGCATCCATGGGCGACAAACCCAGAGACGGCGCTCTTTGCCACTGCTTTACTTTTTTTTCTTTTCGTTCCTTTCGAAAACGCTACTGTAGATGATCAGCTCCATTCGACTGCCAGTAAAGTCTATAGAGGTAGTTTTTTGCAATCCCTTTCACATTGGACTGATTTCAACTGATCTTTGAATGAGCACGAAGTCTGATCTTATAAGGTAATCGCTAATAATTCGTAAGTATATACCATACACAGCCGTTGCTACCTAATTAGGTTGTATTCTCCGCGGTGAAGTGATATAAAGCAGGTAATTTTACTTTGATTTTTCACTATACACCATCATTTAGTAGGTATAACCTATAGCCAACCCATGTTACACTGTTAGCTGTCGATCGATAGATCTTGAGGACTTCCCGGGCTACAGCATACCATTACAAGACCAGTTTTTACTTTTCCTTCTATTTTTTACTCAGTTTACTTGAATTATTATATGTTGGAAGGGCCTATGAATCGTCCGAAAGTCAGTTTCAATGACTTACTGGAAGCTTGAGGATTTTTTTTCCGAAATGGCTTATGAATACGTTATTTGGCAATATGAGAAGACTAGCTAGCTAATTTTGGCTTATATTCTACCACCTCGTTAGCGAACCACCAGGCGAGAGCAAATTGATCCCAGAGGATTGATGAAAAATTGACCTAGACGTCCTTGAATAGCAGAGTGGGGGGCACTGCTATCCATTGTCTGCCAATGCTGCCCTCTGGTTAGGTGCTCTTTTCTCGTACCTTGTGTGACCGTGCTTTTCTTGGCTTCGTAATGTTTCTCGAATCGGTTCCCATAGTTGTTGAATCAGTATATCTTCTTCAGTCAGCGTTCAAATGATTCTGATGGTTTCAAAAACCCGTTGCATTGAATTACTCTATTTGGACTATGCTCCTTCACTTTGTATTTTATGTAACCCTCCTTTCCTCACCTCATAAGAAACCAATCAACTTTTCCAATGGTCTTTTTGGGGATTTCCGAAAATACCTAAAACTCAAAGATGTTCAAGTTCAGTTTAAAGGTGTTCATTGGTCAGTAATGGTTTCGATGGTCAACTATTGACTGGGCTGTTTCTGAGCAGGTTCACTTCTCTTTCGCTCTCACTTATTTTTAAGAGTTTTCGATACGTACTAGAGAATCCCTTTGTAGATTTCCTCCATCTGAGCACTACGAGGCTTTCTTAATTAGAAATTAGGCAGTCCAGTTACTGTTTTTTCATTTGTATGTTGAATATGCACGGTCAAGGTTTTTTTCGGAAGAAGATTAATTAGAAAACGGTCTTCCAGGTAATATCGTACTTTTGCTAACTTTTTTTTTTGCATTTTTTGGGCATTTCCTCGAAGCCACTGCAGCATTACAGGTCATTTCTGAAGCTCTTAGCGACTAATTTTTGAAAATTTTGAATTCAGTTAAGGCTTTTTTTTAGTTATACGAGATAACATTTTCGGTCTCAGTAGTGTAAGGGATAGAGGGGCCATATCCGAAAAACAAAAGAATAGGTTTGAATCCCATTTGTTGCCGATGTCTTGCCCTTAAATCGCCATCCTTGTACGAATCTAGAAAATATTTGTTTATTTATTTGTTTATTTTTTTAAAATCCACACAAAGGTGCGCTTCAGTAGCAAGCAAGCAAAACAAACCAATTACAAACCTGTACAGCAGAAAAAGTTAAAAAACGCACAGTAGGCAAAAATATCATGGAAGGCTTCATTATTCATTATTCATATGTGATTAAAGCACAAAATGTGACTGGCATTAATTATGTAAAGCTGTTTACATGTTGGTCATTGATGATGATCATAGTGATCACGTCACTCATTCAGAGAAAGTGACCGATGTTTGAACCCATCTGTTTAGTTCTTATAAAATTTGCGTTCGTTATTTCCCTTCCAGAAGTCACCCTTACTGGCTCTCCCCTGTTGACTGGTTCTACCCTGTTGTTTTTACATCCTGGAAAGAGTTCCTATCAACACGACTCACTGTGGCATCCATGCATTCCAAATGGGTGACTGACTTGTTTACTTTGCTAATCTAAGCAGCGGTAGGTTTCCTTTCTGAACCCTGCTGCTTCAGAAGGCCGCGATTGGCACGTCGTAATCCAAGCAATTGAAATTGGTATGTTTCTCCAAAGCATTCATGCATGCTGAAGGCATGAGAATTTCGGAATGCTCTAAAAACCGAACATCGGTCGACATCTGGATTTGAGCATTTACTTTGGCATCCGAAGAATTTGGCCTACCGCAGTGGTTCTCTTCCACGAGGAAGGTCTGCAGGTAATACAGGCCCCTCATTCATGTTCATTTTCCGGAGCCCCATTCTGAGAGGAAGTTCCGTCCTTCTCTGAATCCTCCCAACAAATCCACCCAAGGGGTGAATGATGGTTTAGACTAGTAGGTATCTCTGCCTTTGAAACCTCGTCCAAAGATCATGTTTTCGAATCCCCAAACCTCGTGAGTCCCCTATCGAACTCGGATCGGATATCAAGCAACAGCCCCGTCTGGCACTTCTCTGATGTGTGAAGCGACTAGCTTGTTCGAATTATTGCTCATCCTAAATATGCCCTACTGCAATTTGAAATGGATGTCGTTCGCGTCAAGTGGTTTGTCCTATTGTTTACGTAGTCTTCAAGTTCATTGATATTGAAAGCAGCGCCGTGCATGTGCCACTTCCATCTCTGCAAAGCATGTACTGCCATTATTTCGACTTCGGAAAAGAGATTCTGACCTTTCTGTAGCAGCTCTTCTCTAGAGCTCCTCACGGTCGCTTCTCGTGGGCCTCGGATTTCATTTCCTTT